GGCTCTGACGTGGGGGCTATTGGCTCCGGGGGCTTGCCAGGCTATCCCGAAGTGGACAAGGGGCTTTGTTTTTGGAGGCGGCCCCGAATCGCCTCCCAGATACTTCCCAGTGTGACTTGATCGTCACTCGAATGCAAGTTTTTGGCCGAGTCGATGGGCAGGATACCAACTGCACACACAGACTCTCCACACACGTATGCGTGGATCGCCAGCGAGGAACAGAGGGTATATCGACCCAGCACAGCAGAATCAAGGAGTCCATCCCCTGAATCCACCTGCGTCTCTGGGCAAGTACCGGTGACTTTTGGTCGGCGATTAATTCCCCTATCCGCCACCTGGGGACGCCCTACGTAGCCTCGTCACTAACCGGCTGGGGATCCTTCAGTGAGAGAGAACCCTCAGTGAAAGGAGATCCGTAGATAGGGCGTTATAAGGGTTAAAACCATCTTAGCTGACTTACAGACCCAAGGGGCACGAGTTTATGAGCGTTGAAAAAGCTGTGCAGGTCGTACCATCTATCCCGGGACTCAGACCTTGCACACAGGCAGCCTACTGCGGCCAGCTGTATGCAGTGGCGCTTGCATTTGGACAGCTCATCCAAATACCCCTTCCCTGCAAATTTTGTCGTCACATTTTCGTCCAAGGCCCTAACTTTGCCACTTTTTTGGAGCCTTATAAAATGTCGACTTCCACGTTTTCTCCGCCCACTTCTGCACTACTCAGGACTATCACTTCCATTACTCATTTAGAACTATGTATTAGATACTCTCAAGTTATCGTGACTGTGCCTTTGATTCATTTTCAGAATCCAAAGTTATCAGTTCGTAAGGGATTCGATTCAAGGTTCGGTGAGGGATTGGAGCTCTGTCCAGCTAGAGATAATGATGCTTGGAGGAATGAGTTCAGGAGGTTTTGATAAGCCTGATAGGGCCAAGCTCAAAAACACTTAAGCTTAGCTCGCTCCCAGCACTAGCATCAGCTCGAGGCCAAGGAATATTTCCGGAAGGGCTCCCTCCGAAACTATGCAATTTTGACCTCTGGGGAGAGCACGTTTGAGACTTACATAACTTTGAACTGATAGGTACCTGTCTATTAGTGGCAGGAAAAAATTAGTCATGGCTTTTCCAGTTCACCAAACCACGCAACCCCACATTTGCATATGTGACACAGCCTGAGTGTGTGTGTGTGTTTTGATGACACATTCTTCTATTGAACCCTAACTGAAACGCTCGTCTTTTACGATTGCGCTGGCAAGATGGATCATCACTTCGACCGTGATCTTACGTTTCAAATGGCGAAAACAGCTTCGAACTATACGAACAACTGCGTGGGGGTATACCCTCCCATTGACCGGGTTTTGTCTATTTATAATAGAAGCAAACATCTAGGTAGAGTACAACCAGGGAAGGGGTGGGGTTTGTTTTCTTTTGTACACCCTCTACCTCGAAACGGCATAAATTTTTTTTGTCCTAGGAATATAAACTGGCCAACGAAGCCTCTGTGAATCAACTAGGAACACTAAGGGGTTCCTAGAATGCCTTCTCTTTCGAAAGCTAATTTTTGCTCCCAGGCGGCATTCACTCACAAACCCCGCCCACCAACTTTGAACAGCGGCAAAGGAAAGGTGTGTCCCACTTTTTACACTTGGTAATCCCATCAACACGAAATTTCGCCAAGTGTAAGCTGTGCTCTTTGTCATGCAGATCGTAGCGAAGAACTGGCCAATACCAGCCAGAAAATAATTTATTCTACTGAACCATAAACTCGTCCAGCTGCCTCCTGAAGTGAGTTCCCGATTTGAACTTCTACTCCTGAAAGTGTCGATAATCAACGGGACAACAAACAACAGCAAACATAAAATACCCTGAATCTTCATTGAGGTCCGTCATCAATCAAATCGTAGAGACTTTCGAACAAAATTTCAAATAGTAAAGAACGTAATGATAAAAAACAAATCAGGTAATCATTCACTTATTATACAACTCTAGTTACCCTTTTTCTGTCGAATGATATATATATATATAAAATCATGTGAATAGAAGTTGAATTATCACCAACGAAAACAAATGAGCACCTGTTATCACTGCATTATACAACGGTCATAGATCATGTATAGAACATCTTCTGGACGAGCTATTTTGAGATCCAGGTAACGACGGGGCCGTAGTTATCCGGACGATGAAACGCCACCACCAGGTTTCGGAATGGACGACGTATCGACACGAGGCTTTCGATTTCTTTTCATGATCGTGTCCTTGCACAATGACATCGGTCTTTTTGTATTGTTCTTACGGAAGTACAAGTTACATGCGCTGAAACGATGAAAATTCGATTATCAGCCATAGATTGGAGTGGTAGAAACGTGGTAAAGTGCATTAGTTGATTGCATTTGTTGATTTTCAAGTTTCGTCCCACCTTAGCTATAGATGTCTCAGAAAATCCTCAGAACACATCGCCATCGGGAAAACATTATTCCAAATGAAAACCCAAATAGACTAGCTAGCGTTAGATTAATAGGTTACAACCTAAGAATGATGTCACTTAATCGCTCTGAACGACGAGTTCGTGGCGCAACCGCGAACTAACAATAAGAAGCTTCAGCTTTTGCTGCTGAATTCACTGGAAAGCCCGACTAACCCCAGTTAGGTAGTGCTGGAGAAGAGCTGCTTTTTATGATGTTCTCTTTGAATTTCGTATTTCAGAATGGAATTTTTCAGGGTATTACTTATAACTATTACACAAATTAGTTTTTTTTTCAGAGCAGGTTCTGAGGATAAAGAATGAAGAAAGACCTTTTTCCTGAAGAAAAGGGACTTCAAAGGTTTTTTGGAGAAAAAATCGCAACATTTTTCTTTACTACGTCATTTGTTTGCAAAACTTCATAGTTCTTCACGGAGAGAAATGGGTTTTTTCCTAAACTGGTTAGGCATTTCACGACATCGCTTTCTTTTGATTTATTCACGGCCGACAACGTCCCATCACGTGATATGAGAGCGAATCTTCCCCACTTATGAATTATTAGAATGTGATTGATGATGGGAATAAGGTTTTCGTTGAGAAATCTTCAAATTCAACCCACTTGCATTCAATTTCTCCCGTTTTCGCTCGCCTCCATAGAGTTGTTTCAGTGGTTTTACAATTGGCACATATAGAATTTGAATGGCATGGTACTGCCTGGAAACGAACCAGTTTATTGAAATGTTGCTGAAATGTTTTTCATCGACAGTTACCTGGATACGTTTCTTTGACTTGCTATTCTGTGGACTGTAAAGTTGTGAAGAATTTTTTCGTTGATATGCTGGATCCTGAGGAGGCGGGGTATAGCCGTTTGGAAGGTAATCTATGGGAGACTGGGAAGGTGGAAGGTAGGTAGTAGTAGAGATAGAGAATACTGTAGGAAGTGGAGTCGTCGTGTTCACATCAAGATCACTTCGTGATGATGACGGGTACATACGCATCTGAAACTATGTAGGCTTTATTATACAGTAGAAATTAAATTGTTACATTGGTATTTAGTAGTACAGTAGTAGCACCTTGTGTAATGTAATATAATGACGGAATGTGGACTACCTAACTTGATTCTGGAAAAGCCCATGGCTTACCTATGGCTGTCTCTGGGCTCGGGCAAAAATCCAAAGTCATTCCCTTCCCCATTCCTGCCGGACCAAAAAATTGTACTCCTTAGTTTACCGGAAGTGAAAAAGTAGCTGGACAGTTGAAACTGTCAAAAATAGGAGAAATTGCACTCTGCATTCCTTTCACGACCTGATCCGATGTTTGAAGGCGACCTCTCTCCCACTTTCTTGATGCTACGGTCAGTATTACTGTAACACCAACTAAAGAGTAACCAAGATTGAGTACATAGTAGTTGGTTAGTAAGTAGCAGTACAATCGCTTTGTAGCTGCGATGGTTTCCAGTCATTACACCGATATGATGACAGCTCATTTGTCATTCCACTTTTTCTACAACATTAAAACGGTGGAAAAATCCATTCCAATGTGGGTTCCCTTTTCCGCTTAGAACCTTTCAATTTAATGGGTCCTTCGTCCTTTCATATGGTTCGAAAGTACAACCACAGTTAAGTTCTGATCACTCATCACTCACTTCTGTAAAACGCTTTCCATACATTTTCCCTCACAATGCCGACCGTAACCATCATGTCACTTACTGTCATACGATTCGTAACTGGTTTACTCAAAGTAATTAAATTACTTTGTTACCCATGCCTAATCAGTTCCCGCCACGTGACAATTTCGCCCTTCTCGACCCCGGTTTTTATTGGGCTTGGGTCTCTACCACCTCCATTCGTCCTCACTACCGACAACCTCGAAATTTTTCCATCATTCACACAAATACTAGTAATACTAGAGCTCAGATGTGATCTGCAGGGTAGCTTGTTTTACAAAGCTAAATCCAGGGGGGAGGCATCTACGGTAGTCAGATATAATAACAGTTACAACAGCGCTTCTGCTGATTGTGATACTGATAATACACTTAAAGGAGCTTTCAATATGCCACCAAGACCTCTCAGAACTCCTTGAAACTTTTGAAAATCATTAGATAGAAGTCCCAAAACAGCACGTAAAATAGACAATGTCGCGGGCGCTTTTCTGAGCCGTGCAGTATGCCATACACGGTGATTGGTTGAATGATTGCGGCTACCAATAGGAGGCAGCCTAGGCACAAGCGGCAATTGCTCGGCTTGGACTCATTTCGAGCGCACGGAATTTGACATAGGGTAAAATTGTTATAAAATATAAATTATCAAATATGACGGTTCTCATTGCATTACCACTTTTTACTACTGTACAACCTGTTCCAACAAACGAATAAATCAGGAATCGATGACTTCCATTAAAGTACAAACTTACTGGTGGCATGTCATACAGCAGTACATTCATCGAATTAGTGTGGGACAATTCAAAAAGTGACGATGAATTGCATTGAAATGATTGCGATTCGGTTTCGTAGAGTTTCTTATTAGTACCAATTGAGCAAACACTGGCATTCAGGTGAAGTTGATGAGAGTCCATGATATGGTGAAAAGGGCTAAAAATACTATTTCAGTACCATATTACTTGTTTATTGTATATTTTACTAATGAATATTAAGTAAACGTACTCTTTAGCGAAAAAATCATGATAAGGATCACTCGTAGTGAGACATTCGTGGAGGTTATGATCGCGTGTCATCATCTTATCGATACTGTACGGATCGGAAGGAAGTGGATGCTCAGAAAAACGAGAAAATACGAGAGAAACACTTCACGAATACCGTAATCTTAGCATTGAAACATGTTCAAAAACCAACCGTAAAAGTCCGTCGAACCCTGGCTGACACGCATCACCGACGACGTTCTGCAATAGACAAGGTGATATGGGAAGTTTGTGGGCGAAACTCAAATAAAAGCTCCAAAAACGCAACAATCTCCGTAGGAGAAAGCCTCGTGAAAAGGCTAGTCAAAGAAGGCATTGCTATTGGTGTATGCATATGTGTCGGTGTGAATTTTTATTGTATTTGAACACCGTAAACTGGGGGTATGGTAAAAGAGGCGTCGATGAGAAGACGATGGCAGCTCATACCTTTGCCCTGAGCAAACATTGGCAAACGCCGTCTGGATTCACGCAGCACGTCATTCCCGGGAACAAGCTAAGGAGGCGAGGAGGGGTTCTGAGTGGGAGGAGGTGGGAGGAGGGGGATCTGACCCATAACATGCGATCCCGTTCATCATGTGTCCGATTGCACGTGGGTTTTTTTTGTGGGATCGACTTTGTCGTAAATATAAATCATTTGATAGTGCGATTGATAATTTGATAACAAATGGTGCAGGATAGTGGTGAAGATGCGGGGGGACGCGTAGTTGAGTGGGTGGGGGGAATGGGGGGTTAAGACTGTTGGAGCGTCGTCGATATGATGACGATGGAGCGTGTGTGTGTGCGTATGTGCGTGTGTGATTTTGCGACGGCAAATCGCGCCAGTTACAAATTGGGAGAGATGAGAAAAGGCAACGTGGGTCGAGAACGGGCGTAGGGAATGATGGAACTATGGTGAACGTGGGGAGAAGACGAGCCACCGGGCGCGAGAGTGTACGAGACGTAAACGCGCTCCCTGCGCAACGAGGTTGACCGTGAAACGGTGATGTATGGGCCATCTCGGGATGTCCCCGCCGTCGCCGTCGCCACCACCATGGTCGTGTCGTCAATGTCGCCACCGTCTACGCCATCGGAGAGAAGTGATCGCGACGTCGACCAACGACACCGACGACGACGACGACGACGACGTCGGCGGCGTTGTAACGCGAGACCAGAGCTGATCGCTCTACCGTTTCGCTCGCACACACTCACATGACGGTCTCTCACTTTCTCCCCATCAATTCTCGATCGCTCGTATGTCTTACGTTCATGATTGCCATAAAGATGTGCGCGGTAAATGGGCATGAATATTCTGTTAAACTGGCAAAGGTTACACTGATACCTACCCAGCATGGCACCCTGGAAAAAAACATTGGCATCGACCCATATCCAACCAAAGTCGCACGATAGTCTATCCCATACTTTCTCCTCCGATAAGGATGGGTTACTTGATTACAGATGATAAATATAGATTATCGATTCATCATGTTTGTGGTTCCACTGATTCATTGCACACCAATTGATTGAATGCCCTACTGCACACGATGTCAACAACTTGAGAAAAACCTTTAGAGAATACTTTCAGCTTCATTGTTCATTCTACAGTATCTCCCACTGAAAATCGAAAATCAGTGAAAGGACATCTTATTAATTAATTTTCTAATTTTCCAATTTAGGCGTAATAGAAAAAGTTACGAAGTTACCCCGAGTATTCCTCACACCTACCTCAGTGATGAAGCAACCAACTGGTTCCAGCTTATCTCGATTTACTACTACTAATCTCTACTACTGAGTACCTTTCTATGCGTTGGAAAGCTGTGATAGACTTTTTTTCTAGTAGTACTGTATCAAAGTAGTAGAGGTTCCACGATATATATGTACAAGTAAGGACGACCAGTTTTCCAAAGCCAAGCCAGTAGAGGACGCTGATCGAATCAATTTTTAAATGATCCATATTTACTTAATTGATTAACATTTATTCATCATGTATACATTATTGCTTGCTATTTTATTTTCTATTAATATTCCAAAGAAAATCATATTGTAAACAACCGGAGGCTACTCTAACTGTTGACTAGAAAGTCTGAGAGATAACTTGTTAAATTCTGGAAATATGCACTTGTAAACGATATGCCATTTCATACACATAAAATAAAAAATAATTGTACATCACATAATTTATCACACTAGAATATACTGTATCGAATTGAGATTTAATGGGCAGTGAATAATGTGCAATATGAAGTAAAGCAGTAGACGACCCAGTGGTTTTTATAGAAAGTAACTCAATAATACAGTCAGTAATACAGTAACTATTACAGTCATTTTCGATACTTACAAAAGACATGGGAATGGTCCTACACGGCAAATTACTTCTAGCCTTACAAAGTAGTTAATACTGTACAATTTTAGCTGTGCATGTGAATAATCACGTTAACACTTCATCAGTAATTATAGTTATGCTGTTAACCCTTTCTTGACGTCGTAGTGATGGAGAATAGTTTGAGATTTTGAACAAGTTCTGCAAAAAGTAATACTCGGGATATAGACATGATTTACTTGTACTCTATAAATTGTATGGATGAATAAACGCATTTAGAAGCCGCATCTTACTTTTACAATTCGAAATAATCGGTATCAGAGAAAAGTTTTGAAGTCGCAATTTAAAATGTGTTTTTCTTCGTTTTCATAAAACTTACCGACATGATGATCTCCTTCAGGGAAGTTCTGAAGAGAGTGCAAAAGAATATAGCCGAGAAAGCAAAGGCTACCAGTCCTATTACCATAAAATTTAGTAATTTTGTCATACTTGCGTTGTAAATGGTGGATTCCAGCTGAAACAAGTACTACTTAAGTAATGGTCGGTTTTTGTATAACTACTAACTTTTGGAAAACTTACAGGGAATCCAAAAAAATGTTTCAAATACTTCATATCTAGGGAATACAGATCTTCTTCGACGATATCCGAGTCAACGTCTGTCTCATTGACGGAAAAGAGAATGTTCAGAGCATTGCCGACATGCTCAATTCGATGAACCTGTAAGGGTTAAGTAACCAGTTACTTACTCGAGCCGGAATCAGTTCTCAAATTTTTGTACTATTTACGAAAATCTACTTTTAAAACAACTCTGCGAAAAATTTTGTAGTAAATCAATACAAGTAGTCAACGGACTCCTCCAATTTTTTTCAAGTGTAAGTTGAGATGCTCAGGTTTCAGAGCCAATGGCGTTCATCGACAAAATTCAACCTATTAATGTAACAAAAAGAAAAAGTACTCACTTTAACAAGATTATTCTTCAGGCTTTCGGGGAGCGATCGTTTCGTTCGTCTCACCCTTCGCACAGATTCCCGAACCACATCACTCAAAGCAGACGTCAGATTACTAGTAAGATCGAAAGATTTGAGATCGAGATCTGATGGAACTTTCATTCGAAGAACCAATATCGATGGTTTCCTTGAAAAAAAAGCAAATCAGTGTCAGTTTGAAGGTGACTGGAATGCTACTGTAACAATTGAAGACCTTTCTGGTAACGATGATGGTGGCGTTGGAAATAATGTCTCTACATTCTCCCAGGAGCCTCCACCGCCTCCAGTAGTCGACGGAAGGCTGGGAGGAGTTGGAAAAACTTTAGTTGTCTCATCTGGGAGAATGCTCGACGCGGAGTAAGGGAGAGGAGAAGCTGGTGTAGGAAAGTCTTCTGGCAAGCTAGTAACTTCTGTGACCAGAACAGGCTGAGTAGTTGGAATCGTTGGTGGACGTGAACTCTGCGATGGTGCTGAAAATCCAAATATATTCAAAAGTAACACTTCAAAAACTTTATGCTAATTGCAGTCCCCGGGAAATTATTATCGAGTAAACATCGATGTTGAAAGGGGCGTTATAATGCAAAAGTTACAGTACAACTTAACAAAGTCCGAATTCGAAAGAAGTAGTAATTCATTAACAACTGAAAACCGAAATCTTCAACAGACAGTATCACCAACCTGCTGTGATTGGTCCTTTACTCGATATTCCATCGAACTGGCCAATAACGAACTGATCCGATGTGCTCATAGGAATGGTGGTCTCAGGAGACTCAGGGGGCTGTATCGTTGTGACGGGAACTAAGGTACTTGCCATAACTGTTGCAATACTTGTAACTCCGCCAATAGTTTCTTGTGATGGAGTTGGTGGTGGCACAGTTGAAAGCAAAATCGTGGTTTGCTGCTGTTGTGGCAGTGTAGTGTCTAATGCGGTGAAGGTCGTAGGCATCGTGGTTTGCTGAGAATTCTCGAAAGACGGAGGTTGTCCAGTAATAAGTGAAACTAGTGTTGGAAATGTCGAAGGAGTCCCTGTATGGGATTGAGCAGGAAACGTGGGAACGACCTGTGCAGGCAGTCTTGTAGTAGAGAATCTTCCTATGCCACCTAGGCACGTAACACAGCGAGTGTTATTGAAGCCGAGCTCCAGAGCAGCCAACTCGTCCGGACGAGGAAACGATGGTTCAGCAGGCTCTGGACCTTGAGTAGTGTAGAGGAGCGCTGAAAAATTCATATTAAACTTATGCAGAATTATGGGAATAATGGTTATTTTTGATTTATGATCGTTGGGCGCCCAGGAGTGGTAGATGCAATGAGGTATGGTCTCCAACTTGGTCACCCCTTACTGCGCTGCGCCATGGACCTCACTGCTACTCAGAAATATTGTAACGCTGAAAGGCATCTCGGTCCATACAAATGGTGTTCAAAAGACGGTCAGCACAAAAATAGAAAGTAGAAAAATTTCACGAAATTTGAAATAGAAATAAAAGTAAAATAAATAAAATAAAATTAGAAAAACAGAAATTTATATTAAAAATTAGTTCATTATTGATTGATATTAAAGGCGTCTGCTTTTTCGCAATCCTTGCGTAGGATTACTGAAAAGACTTAGAACTTTTTTTTCGCAGAAAAGGCGAGATTATTTCGTGACATTTTGACGTACCATTGGAAATCACACAAATGTGGCTGAAAAATGAGAAAAGCTGCTTCAAAATCGATGCAGTTCAAAAAAATTACCTTGAAGCGGGCCGAGCTTGGCGAAAATGTCCGCTGGTGTTACAAATGGTGGTAAGATCCCAGCGATTTGTGGTAAACCATGATTAGTTTTTACTTCAATGCATGCTTGACCTGATTCAATGACCAAGTGAGGAGTGCCGCCCTCTACTCGGATGTTGTGTTGACCGGATGTCATCCCTACCTGGAAAAATCGAAATGCACAATATTTGAAATAATCTGAAAGTTTTCTGAGAGCTTGGTGTTCGATATTGAGGCTATGAACTTACACTTGGAAATGGAGGAATTGGACAAACTTTCTTCAAACTACACGATAAATTCTCACAAAACTCCCATTTGATCGTTTTTTGCCAGTCCCTCAATTTCCGAAAGTATTCGTTCTATGAGGTCATCAGTGTTCCAGATCACAGCTGCCCTCAACTCAGTCAGGAGCCAACATTCAATACTACCTACATTTTGTATTGCCGTCTGCACAACTATATGAGAGTTCACGGTCGATCCTGTTACCAACCCAGCGTTCGAAAGATTCAAGTCCGTTTTCAATGCTGTCACCTGCAATAAGTTGAAGTAATGATTGATGCAACTGTGTTTTAATTTGTTCGTGCGCAAACGGCACCAAAAGCTGAGGGGATATGTGGCAATTCAGAGATGAAGGTGTTCCATAGAAGACCCATAAACGATAGAGGAGTAGACCTGACATTGTGGCTATCCCGCCTATCTGAGCCAATCCCGCCTCCCATTCAATTTTCATCTGATAAGAACTTCACGTTGTTCCTGCTTTACAAACTTCCTTTCCTCTATCCGTCACTTTGCCCTCTCTTTGATCACCTGAGACCAGAACTCTCGCTGAGTGTGTCTACTACCTTAGTATTGCGCCCTTTATTATTGAATTTCATGATATCATCAAATGTCATGTTTTCTAGTAATAATTGGTGGGCTCTTTTTGAAAACAGCATAAGTTATATTAATGCCTGTTGTTTATAACCAAACCAATGAAATTGGCACCTTGATATTTTCCGATGCTACAACACTTCCTCCAAGTGAGAGTTCGCCTCCGCCACGATCTATTTGCGTACTGTAATATATCAATTACTCTATCGATCTGTAATAACCAGTTATAAGTAGGTGTTACTACAACGAAAGTAACATAAACAAATCAAACTAAAAAGGATACACAAAAGTAATCAAGTGAAATATGATTTCCTACGTGGCCAGTTGTTCCACATTCACATCAACGCCTGACGGTACCACTCGTAACATTATGCTTTCGAACGGACATCGAACCAGAATTTCCTCATCCGAAAGAGCGATCTGAAGTCGATGGAAATGGTTGATTTCACGGAAAAGCCAAGGTAAAGTGAACATAAGAACGTTGTGGAGCAGTAAGTTAACTCTGGAGTTTTCATTCAGTAAGTTTTGTGCAAAGCCCCTAGGTAGTACGGTAAAGGAATGAGTCGTACAGAATGATTTTCTCAAGAAACAGCTATTTCTCAAACTGCTTACTTCGCCTAAAACCTTACTTGTCAAACTTCAAACCGAACAAAGCGTGTTTGCCCTCCATGTTGCTGATTCCAAGCAGTTTTCATTTCCACGATCTATCATAAGAGCACCCAGTCCCACCATCACCTGGCTAACTGGCGACCATCATGCAACCATCAATCCGACAAAGATGATTCACTTACGAGCCAGAGTGACACTCTCATTTCTACTAGGTTTGCCACTGTAGATTTACTAGTTTAAATACCAAAGAAACGGATCGCACTGTCAAAGAAAAGTAAAGAATACAAGCCTTCGCTTGAAAACTCACATCATAGAAACTATCATTAACTTTGGCAGTAATAGTATACTTGTCAGTATGTACATTGACCGTTCTATAATTTTGATCGATTTCGACAATTTTATCGCCGAATTCCACATAGATTGTTGCACCAATGAAACAGACACGAATATAATATAAAGGCGAAGTGGCTGTAAAAGGACAACATGGCAGTTACAGTAATCATGAAATAGGTAATTCGATAAAACTCCAAAGTTACCTAGTAGAACAAGTTGTCTTGCACCATTCAAAAGTGTGTTAGCTGCAAGTTTCATGGAAGTCGCACGGTTAGACCACGATGTATCAACTTCCACACCGGTTCGGTAACCATGTATGCCCTAAAGTTGGTTATGCGTGATTGATATTGGAGCTGGAAACCGGAAATCGGAAGATTCTCCGGAGGGATTGCATGAAGTCATTCGCATGTTAGGGATCGATTTTTCCCATCAAACCTCAAAGGATTGGCAGGGTAAAAGCTTGTTTTATAGTAGCACAACAGCCAATCAAAAACAATATTAAGTATAAAGAGAGAATAATAAATAGTAAATCATCGTAATGAGAGTAATAACAATAAGCCCATAGTAAAGAGTAAGTATGCTGATCGCAAAACTGTTAGAAAAAGATTCATGAACATTTACATTTAACATTAACAGTCATTTACAGACCTGTACTCGAAGTCCGCTGCTTTCAACAGAAGCGTTCGTATTCCCCACGATATCATGAACAATACTAGAATAGCCGTCTCTTGTTCGATTTGTTCGCATAGAAAACTAAATAATGGGGAGTAAACGGGTATATGACTTGTTTCGTAAATGTGCCATGCTCTCGGCATCCTCTCGGAAACGGAGAGGAGCGCAAAGGGGACAAAAAACGGTTTCGTTAGAGTAATTCATGTATTTGCACTGTTTTCGCATTTTCAAAAAGCTCATCATCAAGTAACAGGTTCCCCATAGTGAAGGATTCGTTCAAGTTAAGCTACTGACGGTACTTCACACCTGGAGCCACCGCCAAGCCAGAATACCTGTTGTTGTTAAAAAAAAAACTATACTTACATTAGCATCATTTCCTTGAGCATATATTGAAGTGTTATTTTGTATAGTTAAGTATGATTCGGCTTCTTGAGCAGAGCAATTTACGAAAGTATCATATGAATCAAAAACTAGAACAGAATGATTTGACCATATGGATCCATTAACAGTCCTAAAAAGAGACGTTTAGTTGCAATCGATAAATGACATGTTGCTGAAGTAACTTAATTGCGAACATTAAGATACCTTTCTGTTAAATCTATTCGAGATTCGGAGGATATAACAGTAATATATTTTTGGAACAACACATTTGATTGAAGAGAGTGGACCTGGAAAGGAACGGATCCTTTCCATTTATGTGATTTAATCTGTTGATCAGAAGTTTTCTTTCAACTTAGGACCACTATCACAGGAAACCAAGCGAACACCAAAAACAAAGTTGAGCTACAGAGCTCGTCATCTGCAGGACGCGAAGGACTTCAAGAGAGGAAAAAAATAACCCTGACTTTATGAGTCACTCTTGAGATTGTTCCGCCCACAGAAGCGACAAGTCCGCCCACATGCTTGTAAACAAGAGGAATTATAACCATCAAGGAATTGTAAGGCAAGAGAATAAGTAAGTCGAGATGATCATAGCTTCATGATGAGCTGTATAAATACTACTACCTACTTTTTACCACACGATCTCGTATTGAAGTTGGCAGTTTGCAAAATCACTTGGGAAACATGCGTTTTTCGAAAGTTTCGGATTGTAAAAGCAGTTACTGCATAATTCACTTAGTTTTTTATGCATAATTATGTAGGCAGGGCTCGAAATTCAGCACCGCTATTTGAAATAACCTGTACTATGCAAAACAAACCTGTACATGTTGAGACGGCAGTGTTTGTCTTCTGAATCGTTGTCCATAAACAGCTAATAAAGGCAATAAAAATACTATCACTAAATTGTTCATAATCTGGAAGTACAAAGTGAATTCAAAGATGGTCCCGGTTGAATTTTAGAGAGTAGTCGCTGCGAAGTAATTGAATCTAAACGTTACGAAGAGACTACCCTCAATTGGACAGTCTCTGTCCATGTATTCTTCGCATGATCCTAGGTTTTCTTGAATATGGTAAGTTTTGGAAAACAAGCTTGCCAAAATTTTAAGGAGATCCTAACAACAAATTTATTAGGAAGAACTGAGAATATCCAGAAATTTTCGCGTTGAACGAAAGCGATTTCACCTCAACGGAACGTCAAACACGGAGCGATTACACGACCGGAAAATGGCACTATGCTGGAACGAAGATTTATCCTCCGTTTCCCGCAGATTCGATGATTTCCTTAGCTAGTACTAGCGAAAGTACTACTGGCGATCATACAAGGCAGGCAGTACATCGGAATTGACTATTTAGATGAAGAGCACAGAGTAATACCAGTTTATGTTTCGCAATACAATTATTACTTTGTCTAGTCTATGATACTCTCTGGTTTTAGTGTTCTGGAACTGCAGCCAGGGTAGTAATATAGGCTCGAAAATGGAGTTATAAATGGATGGAACGCATATTGCTGAACTTGTTAACGACAGGTGAAATTTCATGGGCAGCACGTCGTTCATCTGTGGATTATTCAGAACATTTATCACGCAAATGCAGTTCTTGCATTCAGTTCCTGGAATAACGTTGCAACTGTGGGAAGAGGGAGGACGCTGGGGTGTAGTGATGACCGTGCCAAACGTAAATGGCTGTAAGTTAAAATAAAGTTTTCAAAGTTAAGTTTAAAGAAATACAATACTTGAGGTCCTAAGAAAAAGTGTAGGTCAACTCTTATTGAAATCAGAGTCTCACGAATTTCACCCTATAGAATCACTCCCAGTTTAAACGTGAATCATGGGGAAATGATGTGCAGAGCTAGGATTCACCGGAGTAGATGGCACAGGTGCCGTTGGAGCTAGCGGAACATTTCCACTTCTCCCCTTTTCCCATCAGAACAACCAAGCTCTTCATTTCACTTGCTCAGTGCTGAAATTGCTCCAAATGGTAGCAAAATCGACCCTGCTATTTCTTCCCATCATTTATTGATTAGACTAAATCATACACATTTTTCAGAATTTTTTTTTNTTTTTTTTTGGTTCATTTCTTTCAATTTCGACAAATTCGAGGAAGCTCAAATAAACGATTTCTTGTAGTGGACCATCATCAGCAATTTCCCTAGTGGTATTTTTTTGTGCATTATGCACCAAAATTTGTATTTTTATGTTTCATGTGGAAATACAATAATAACAGTAATGCCTGAAATATGAATAAGAATAAGGAGATAAAACGTTTGAAATGTAGCAGTAAACGTTTTATTAATGACGACAATTGTGTGGCAATTAGGGCGATTTACTTCTTGTAGTTCGGGATATTCCGATTGTTCCCAACGCAAGCACACCATATCTGTCTTGGCTTACTTACAGAATGCTTGTATTAGTCTATCCTTTATTGCCTAATGTGATCGCCAGACCATTCATTTGCCACGACCCCTTTACCGTATGATATTTATAAGATGTTTATTCAGTATACCTGTCCAGAGTAGTACTGACTTATTCCCTCTATGCTATTTATCTGTTTAATGTTTTAGCTATATTCGCTTTCATTTGTAGTCAGTCTTATCCAGAGAACTTCCTTAAGTCCTTCCGAAATCTGAAAGGAGAGGTTGAATATTTCAGGCCTATTGCTCGGATCCATGTCTTTTGCAAATTAGCAAACCCGCTTCTTTGAGTTTCTCGCACATCCTGATGAAAATGCTACCAGTTATTCGGTAAGTTTGTCTCGATAGACAAAACAAACCTCTCAACATACGGTGTCGCCTCCTGAAATGGGAACTGGATTGCTGTTTGAGGGTAGCTCCGCTTAGCCATCTACCCGTTGGTCTAACTTGTCGCCTTGATTGACGACAACTTCCCAACAACTTTACGAGTACTATGAGAATAAAGGTGGTAATGGAGTTCCTAACTAAATAATAACGAATACTCTAAAAAAGGCTTTTCTTTAGAAGTAAGGTAACTTCTGAGAGAGTATGGGAATTTACGGCTGATTGATTGAAGAGTGGGTGTTCTGATAATTACCACCCTTTGTGGTGATAATCTGCAGCCTGTTAGGAACGACATTCCAAATGAAATGGTTTGCGAAATAGTCCTACTTGGAGGTCTGTTTAAAGGGGAGTTATTCTACTAGTAATTGAAGAAGGAAGGAGCAGAATTGATAGAGAGGGTATAAGAACCTGTTCATTTCAAATGCTCTGCCGGAGAAACGGAAACCAATAAAATTGTGGACGAGAATCTGACGATAGGAGAAGGGAAAAGAAGAAAACGCCTCATGCATAACAGCTTTAATCGCTTTCTGATGAGGCATTGAAAATTGCGTGCTTTTCAAGATTAATTATATTAGCTTAGCAAATTGGGCAAATGCTGCAGACAAATTATGATTCAGTGTTGGATTACTCTATTACAACTTTCTTGGAAGCTGTTTGGTTGATCTTGCTCAAATTGCATTGAAGCCTAGCAAACCAGTGAATTTTACTGAAAGAGAGGTATCAGTTATGAGAGAGTTATGCATATCGTTTTAAACACAAAACAAAGTCCTGAGATGTTGTAATAAAGGAAATAGAGACCTACCCTGGCATAGTTCCCTAATAGTTTAACTTGTAAACATCAGAAAAGGGTTGTTCCGATCTGAACCGGTGAGCCACACCTCCAAGCTTGGTCTGACAACAAGGCGATACAAATCTCAGTGCTTAGGTGGGCGAAGAAGTTCTTGGTAATTCGAGTGAAGTTTTCGTAAAAGTCGAGGAGCTTCATCGCTATCACAGGGAATCACACTGCGTTGGTTCTGGATATGAATAATAGTTTTTTGAGATTAAAATGGTGTTTTTCGAAGCTTCGACGTTTTTCATAGCGAAGCCACTTCCAGGAACAAAATTGCCATTGAGCATGGCTTCACCTGATTTTTTTTATTAGCGTAAGATGTACGAGAGAATTCTGAAAGTACTAGTTTTTTTGCACCATGGAAAAAAAGCTCAATCGCAATCCAAAGATTGCTGAAGAATAAAAAGAAAATGTTCAAACCAGTGAA